GTTCAGATCGTTAAAGTTTGATATAATGTGAACTCGACAACCATCCATTTTTTTTTTCTTTTTTTCTTTTAAGTACATAAATATTTTTACACTAAATCATCCGTTTTTGAAAAAATGAAAATTCCTTCCTGTAAAGGCCTCGATCGTCTAGAGGCAGGCTCATTATAAATACAGAGGACTAGGCAACACTTAAAAATGGTGACTGCCGTTGTAGTGTCCTTGGCATCTACGCTTATTGCCGTCACTTCACCTTCGTCCTCTTCCTCCTTTTTGACGAAATTACGGTCTGCCCGCAGTCTCCGACTTTCTTTTGCAGTTACACAACTGTGCTCTTGCAGAGGGAAGCTCATGGCTCACACTCTTGCTCGGGCCAATCTCGGCCTCACTCACCCTTCTGGCATCGACGCCCCTAAGGTATGTTTCTCTCATCGCTTTCCCAATCCAGTATATCTATGTTCGTCGATGGAAGGTTGTAATTTCGATCATTTTTTGGGGTTGGTTTGTGGAAAATGATTTTTTGATAGGTGGGTTTGTGATTGTTTAGAGGTGTTGAGTGTTGTAATTGTTAGTTTTTTCATGTAATTTGATTAATTTGATGGATTTGGTGGGTTTATATCTGTAAAGATTCGATCTTTGTATGTGGGGTGATTGTATTTTTTGTTTATAAACAATCAAAACGATATAAACAAAAAATATATGGATCATGTTGCATTTGATTGATTATATTGGATTCAGTTGTGGAAGAACTTGAATATGTTGAACTGATATGTGTGTTAATTCCTGGAAGATCTCTTTTGCCGCGAAAGAGCTCCATGCAGCAGAATGGAAAGGAGACCTACTTGCAGTGGGTGTCTCAGAGAAAGATTTGGCGAAAGATGAGAACTCCAAGTTTCAAAATTCAGTATTGAAGAAGCTAGATTCCCATTTGGGTGGTCTATTGGCTGAAGCATCTTCTGAGGAAGACTTCACCGGAAAGTCTGGCCAGTCAACAGTTGTTAGGCTTCCGGGTCTTGGCTCAAAGAGGGTCGGCTTGTTTGGGCTTGGCCAATCTGCTTCGTCTACAGAGGCTTTCCAAGGTCTTGGTAAGGCAGCAGCAGCAGCAGCAAAGGCTGTTCAAGCCGGTGACATTGCTATTGTGCTTGCCTCTTCAGAGGGGATTTCTGCAAAATCTAATACTGCTTCTGCAATAGCTTCTGGTACTTTGGCCCAATATTTTCTTTATTCTAATTTGGTATTTGGTATTCTGATATGGTAATATACTAATAGTTGTGGTAAACATGTTGGAATGACTTGAATTACTGTAGGAACTGTGCTGGGGATATATGAAGATAATAGGTACAAATCAGAGTCAAAGAAATCAGTTCTAAAATCTGTTGACATTCTTGGTCTCGGAACTGGACCTGAAGTAGAGAAAAAGCTCAAGTATGCTGAAGATGTTACTTCTGGAATAATTTTTGGGAAAGAGCTAGTAAATTCACCTGCCAATGTTCTTACACCTGGTTCGTATGAGCTATTTTCTTGCAGTTGTTATCCTTTAATATCGATGTTATTTAGCCGGCACTTTCTTCATTTAGTTCATTGATCAGTTTCAGTAATGAAAATCTGGATTCTCTATAGTGTTTCCATTTAGCTGGCATATACTGGTATTTCCCAATTTTTCGTTCATCGGTCCCTGTTCATCTAGATATTTCCTATAATTGACTGTCTGCAATGTTTATTATGTCTCAGGGAAACTAGCTGAAGAGGCCTCAAAGATTGCTTCCACATACAGTGATGTTCTGTCTGCAAATATATTAAATGAAGAGCAATGCAAAGAACTGAAAATGGGTTCTTATTTGGCTGTTGCCGCAGCCTCAGCAAATCCTCCACATTTTATTCACTTGATTTACAAACCCCCTGGTGGACCTGCTAAGGTCAAATTAGGGTTGGTTGGTAAAGGACTGACCTTTGACAGGTGATTGCAAATGATTTAGAATGAACTTTTTGCTCCTAGTTCTTTTAGCTCTTGCAAAATAGAACTGTTTGGTTTAGCTGCCTGTAAATTTTGTGATATTACAATGTGTCTGGTAAAGGGTTTAGTTACTGAGTTTCATGGTGGGATGAAGTCTATATAGCAGTAAGTGTTAAGCAAGTCGTTCGTTTCCTCTCATACTGTGTACATCATTTTTTCTCTTTATCAATGAGCTGACTCTGTGTTGTTTGCTTTATCTTTTTATGTTATCAGCGGTGGCTACAACATCAAGACAGGGCCTGGCTGTTCGGTTGAACTCATGAAATTTGATATGGGAGGTTCAGCAGCCATATTAGGTGCAGCAAAAGCCATTGCTCAAATCAAACCGCCTGGTGTAGAGGTAAGTCATCGTGTTTTCCATGTTTCTATTGTTGGGAAAGATGTATGATTGATCTGTTGCAGTTTTTAGTGATGTACGAGTATGGATCAATAATGGGTAGTGTGTGTGCAGGTTCATTTCATTGTTGCAGCTTGTGAGAATATGATAAGTGGAACAGGTATGAGGCCTGGAGACATTGTGACAGCATCAAATGGAAAGACAATTGAGGTATGTTTTCTGACTAATTGTTAAAATGTATTTAACATAACGTGAAGAATTATTTTACTGCATTATCTTTGATTTGAGCAGATGTTTTCTAGCTGATGAGAGGTTTAACCGTCTAATTGATTCACTATATGCGAATCCATGTTTTTATGAACTAAAATTCTATCTATTTGCTTCAATTTCTGCTGCAGGTCAATAACACTGATGCTGAAGGTAGACTTACTCTGGCAGACGCTTTGGTATATGCTTGTAACCAAGGTGTTGATAAGGTATTCATGTGGTGATGCATCATGGCTATGCATTTTGTATCTTTAATATCGGTGCTAGTTTTGTAACTATTAACTGGTCTTTCTTTCATCAGAATTGAGTTCTAGAACTGTGCAATTGTTGAAAAGCTTATTTGTTTGTACTTTCTTGATGTATGGTACTTAACAATTACTAGTACTGCTAACACTATCATATTGTGCAGATTGTTGACCTGGCAACCTTAACGGGTGCTTGCGTGGTTGCTCTTGGACCCTCAATAGCAGGTATAAACATAATTTTACAAGCATTTAGTAAATGCTTAGTAATGCAAAGTCTCGTTTCTGCTGGGATAGGATTTCTGAAAGCTGTCATATCTGTTTACGTGATGTTAAAACTTTCCCTTTCAGGTGTCTTCACACCAAGTGATGACCTGGCGAAGGAGGTATTTGCAGCTTCAGAAATCAGTGGGGAGAAATTTTGGAGGTTGCCATTGGAGGAGAGTTATTGGGAGACAATGAAATCCGGAATAGCTGATATGCTCAACACCGGTGGTCGTGCAGGTGGTTCAATCAATGCTGCTCTCTTCTTGAAGCAGGTATATGATTGCATAGTTTTATTCTCGGTGTCTTCTGTGCTTCTTGCTTCACCACTGAAATAACTTGACATCCGTTTCACCTTTTCCGGTTAAGTGGAGGGCTAAAGCCCAAAAAACTACACTACGACGAATCTAGGACTGTCTTCTCCTTTGTTCCCATTGATGACAAAACCTGCCTTATTGTGTCCTGTTGTCTCACATACTAATGACAATTTTTGCAACTATGCTTTTGCAGTTTGTGGACGAAAAGGTTCAGTGGATGCACATTGACATGGCCGGGCCTGTTTGGAATGACGAGAAACGCACTGCTACAGGGTTCGGTGTTTCCACTCTGGTGGAGTGGGTTCAGAAGAACTCTTCTTAGGTGGCTGAAGCATCCGTCGACATAAGCATCACCAGCCGAGGCAACCGAAGCATCTTGATGTGCCGGGAGTCGACTTTAGTTGTTGAATAAAATGTGCAGGAAAAGAAATGGAAAGGGTTAATGGACCTAGCCTCCTCGGCATGGTCTTGTTAAGTTTTTACCTTTTATCTTGTCGTTAGAACATTAAAAGTTTAAATAAAAAGAGAGAGCTTATGAGTAAAGTAGTCGTTTTCTCGGTGCCCTGTAAGAAGAAAAATGAAAAAAGTAAAGCCGTATTCAACAAGCTTGTAGTTTATGGCTCGTTTGAATATACTTTTAAAATAACTGAAAACGTTTTTAAAGAAATTATTTTTGGGTTTCAAAAGCATTTAAAGTGTTTTTTGCAAAAAGTACCAGTTATGTGCTTCTTTCAGGAAGCACTTAAATTGCTTTTTTCAGGATTTACTTGTATCTTTACTAATGATTAGTTTTAAAAACATTTTCACTAAAAGCGTTTTCAGTCATTTTAAAAATACATTCAAACGAGCTCCTAAACGGTCAAGAATGTTTATCCACCTTTAAGCTTTTTGATAATAAGTGTTGATATGAATGGTTTGGATTTCTGAGCCCGCCAACTTTGGATCCAATAAGGATAAAAATGGGAGGAAAAATAATGAAAAAGGTTTAAAAATTTTGAGTTTTAACAATAAAGAAAAAATAAAGAGTAAAATGAATAGTACAAGAATTGATTTTTTAGTGTAAAAATGTGGTTTTTCGTTAAAGTGAACAATACCATAAGTTTTTTGTTAAAGTTCCTAAAAATGGGATTGGAATTTCCACTCACAATGAAGGGTTAGATACCATCGACAACGTTGTATTTTGGTGTGGTGTTCAAACTCTCGAATGTAGTCTAGAAAGCGGGATATGGAGAGGATCTCAATTCCTCTTAACCAATAAAGAAATTTTTTTAATAACTTATATCAAATTCGGTTCATATTTCTTCAAATATAATTGTAAACACGCGATAAAGAAACTTTGGTAATATTACAAATCTTCTTTAATTTTTAGGTATGATTGTCTGACTATAACAACTTTCATATTGAATAAAAGCACATGAAATTTTTTATGGTTAAAAAAATATAAAAATCAAGATTTTATGATTATTAAGCTAAACATATCCTATACAAACATTCTAATCACCATAGAATTTGTGTGGAAATTTTTTTCTGTGAGTACTTGTAAAACATTTGACAAAATTTTCTCACGCTTCAGACACAATTGACTCTCTCCCCTCTCTCTCCTCTTCTTTTAATATTGGAGCTTCGTCATCTCTTAGAATCTGCTCCCCTGAGCTTACAAGAATGGAGTAAGCAGAGGAAATCTCATCTGCTCCCTTCTTTTTGGTGGAGCATGATGCAGCAACAAATATTGATCATGTAACAAATAAAAGAGCAGGCAGAGATTTTTACCTGAAGAACCAAAAAATGAGTGTTTCTTTGACAGTGATGGCCTTCAATCTTCACGAAGATCAGACGGAAGACAGTCCCTACTCGTGGGATAAGAGAAAGGATTTATGCATTAGCGTCATTACTAGCTATTCTCCTATGATTCTGTGTACCCAGCAAGGTAAATATTTTCTTCTGCTTCCTTTCATTTGCTACGATTTTGACATGGATCTTGCTTGTTTTTTGGTTGTGATTTGATTGAAATGGTCATCTGGGTCTGTTTTTATTTGATTTTTGGAGCTGGGGTTTTGCTCTTTTGGGATTTAGTTTGGTTTCTCTGTTGAAATGTGTTGGGGGTGAGCTGGGTTTGCGGTGAGTGAGTTCTCTGGGGTGAAGGTTGATTGAATAGGGCAATGTTATTGGTGTGCTGGGTTTACATTTTTCTGTTCAAAATGCTTGATTGTGTACTTAAAATTGAAATGTTAATAGTTGGTGTCTTTCTTGTTTCTGGAATTTGATTCTTTTATGTTCATTTTCTGCTTCAGGAGTTAAATCACAGTTGGATTATCTTCAGCAGTGCTTGCCAGGTAACTTTCTCTCCAAAACGTAAATTTTTCGATTCTTCGAATTACAGCATCGGTATTTTGTCTTATGGTTGAGGAAAGGCAGGTCTTAGTGCTCGCTTTCTTGAGTACATGTTTCGATTGTTTGTTTCTTATGAAGAATGGCTCATAGGTCATGTTTCTGTTTGCTTAATTAAGAAAGAATTGCAATTAAGTTGGTGAAGGTTCGTGCTATTTCACATAGATACAATGTTCTCTTTTTTGACAGTTTGACAAGAGGCATTATTATGTATCATACGCAAGATGCAATTATGGTGTCTGTCCCTTCCCGCTTTAATTGATTTTGTTTACCTACGACTTTCCATGTATAAAATGAAACATACACGTCACTGTTTTTTCCATATTGAGATATTCTTGAAGAACGGTTTGCTGGCAAGCCTGGCATCGATCTTCATTATATAGAATGCAATGGTCTTATGGCAATGCAATCTCCTTTCTCTCCTCTTATTTATTTCCGCTTATGATTGGACTGGTATTATCATATTCGTTAGGTTATGATCAATTTGGAATATCAAGAAAAGGGCCCGAAGACACTGCTGATGAACATTGCACCATCTTCTATGACAAGGAGAAGGTGAAGTTCCCTTCTGTTTGTCGTGCCAGATGCCTTTTTTTGTCGAGAACTTGTGAACTTTGACCTTCTTTATGCCATTTTTTCATAAAATTAGGTGGAGATGCTTGAAGGTGGAACATTTTGGTTGTCAGAGTCACCTTCTGTTCCCGGAAGCATGTCATGGGGTTCTGAGGTTCCATGTATTGCAACATGGGTGATATCCTTACCAGTTTACTTTCATAAACTTAGATAATCTTCAACAACTGCTTTAACATTTCCATGAAAGAGCGCCGTATCATTTGTTATCTTGACATGATGTCCACACATTTCAACTGAAAGGAGCTGAGCCACCTGGATTTTCCTTCCAGATAGTAAATACAAACATGGATGAGTTCAGTGCTCGTGCTCGTCGACGAAGTGCTTTGCTCACATGGCAGCACATAGCGTCCTTACCACCTGGCTTGCCAGTTGTATATTGTGGAGGTTTCAACACACAAAAGGAATCAACTACCGGCCGGTTTCTTTTGGGGAGATCAAGGTTCAGTTAACATGTGGATATTCAATTGTTTTTACATTTTGCAATTTTTCCATATTTTTTACCAGTCTCCATTTATGCAATAGCCCATAAGGTTGGGACTTAGGAATTATGAAATAGACAGGAAACTATGATGCTTTTGCGAGCTGACAGATTTTTGTAAGGAGCATCCTTCATTTGTGCCTCTAGTTATAGTACTACTTGAGAAATCTCGGACACCTCCTTCCTCTTGTCCTCGTTTTGATCCCCTTCCACTTTTGCAAACCCACCAGATCCCTTTTTCATTTATCCACCGGATATTTGTTTGGTGGATAGGATTTCAATTTAAAATTGGCAATATCGAAATCATCCTCCGTTAGATATAGTGTGAGACGAATTTACATGCTAGTCTCTCTCTGCTAGGAAGCTCACCAGATAGGTGGTGGATTTTCTTTAACAGCTTGTTCTTTTTAGTAAATCTTCTCCCTTGGCTTCCCTGCAGAGAGCACGGTGCAGTGGGGGATATGAGGGATGCATGGCCTAATGCTCGTGTGAGGAAAAATGCCTCTCTCATTCGCACTTTCCATGGATTTAAAGGTACCTGCTATACCACTACTACTTTTAATGCTGCTTGTTGAGCATGATTTAATTTCATAGAACGTGATGCTTTCAGGTGACAAACAAGGAGCTCTTGAATTCCTCAAGTTGATTTTCAGAGCGCTCTGCCTCTGCTGGGATCGACAAACACAGGATCTACATGTAGATTGGATTCTTTTTAGAGGTAGATCTCTTATCCCTGTCTTGTGTGAAGTGGTGAGTGATAACATTGATGGATATTACCCATCCTCTCACTATCCCATATTTGCCGAGTTTATGCTTCCTCGTACGGTGAGAATGATTGACCCCCCTGCTCCCGAGGAGAACTGATATGCATCTGTTTTGAACCGACACCTCCCCATTTTAATCCTCCGATCACTGAAGGTCGTGTTCGTAATTTTCGGATTTAGACAGTCATTTAATGCACAATTTTTTCTTTTGATAGCTATACCGAGTTCTTCAATTTACTCGAAGGTGCATCGAAAGAGGTAGCAACAATTTTATTTCAAGTGTTTGACGTTTTGTACTGTTGCTTTACCCTCAAGTTTTATGGAATGGAATTTGATTGATTATTTACGCTTCAAGCAAACTTTTGGTCAAGGTTCATAAAGAGAGTATATATTGTTAATTGTTTGTTTACAAAACAAGTGAACGAAAATTGTTTAAACTAAACAAGAGTTGAATGAAATCTACTCCGAATCTCTGTGTTTGGAGCTTGCGGATTCAGAGATTCAGACCACTCAATTTCAATCATACAGCTCCTATTAGCTCATCTCACTGACTTACTTCACAACACTTAAATCTTGGGATGCTCCAAATATCTCTCTTGAACGGTCCGAATCTCTTGGTTCTTGGGTTCCGAACACAGAAATCTAGAGTGGATCTCATTTCGTTTTAGGGAAGTGATTTTCACACACCTTTTTTATTCCTGACCATTAGATTGAGTAAATTAAACAGAATAATGGACATGCTTAAACATGGATGTGTGTGAGGTAAAAAAATATGTGTATTTATCATTTCCCTTTCCTTTAATGTATCTATTACACACATCTCGAAATTTAAACTTATCTAGTACTAATTAATAGATCGGTGAATAAAAATGCAGAAAAAGTTATAAATGATGGTTTCAAATATAAGCACAAAGTTACGACCAAACAAATTGAGAGTGATTTTAAACTCGAACGTTTCAACCAACACTTGCATGGTTTTTATTTTTATATTTTTCAACTTGTAATCACCGTCAGTCCGTCAGTCCGTCAGGCCGTCCGTGAAGTCCAAACCAATCCCCACCGCACATCGGACCCGCGAAAAATCCAACGGCGATGACAGGGATTTCAAATGACAGCCTCGTCTTGTAAATCCCAACAATCTGGTTTTAGAGAGAGAGAGAGCTTCTCGTTCTTCTCGTGTTTTTAAAGCAAACAAGAAACCAACCACTGAGTGATACATTCATTTGATACAATCTTACAAACGCTCTCACAGAGTCTCTGAATTGCACAGAGACATAGAGAGAGAGAGAGAGAGAGAGAGAGAGAGAGAGAGAGGAAGTGGATCTAGATCTTGTGGGAAGAAGCCATGGCGAGAGGACCTCTCGCTTTTCAGCTATGGATCTCTGTGTGTCTTATGCTCTTCTTTCATGCTCGCTGCTTCTACCTCCCGGGTGTCGCCCCTCAAGATTTTCAGCAGGTCAGCACCTTTAACTCTCTCTCTCTCTCTCTCTCTCTATATATATATATATGTGTGTGTGTGTGTGTGTGTGTGTATGTATGTATGTATATTTGTATATGATTAAACATCTGTGTATAATTGAATGTAATGTATGCCATGGCAATTTTTTGCTGCGTGTTCTTAGTTACAGACAGATCCGTATACAATTCGGCATTTGGGTGTTTACAATTACGGATCTTTTGGCGAAAGATTTCATAAATTTACGATCTTGTGACTCGAGTCATTGAGTCTAAGTTCAAGTTGCTGCATTTCTGTATATTTTTGTAAATCTCTGTTGGTTTCTTATATTGCGTGAGATGCAGACTGCAATAATGCAATATCTACATGCACATTTGTCAAAATTTCTTGTTCTCTTTCGTTCGGTTAGTGTTAGAGCTTGTATTGTCGTTCAAATGTTAAGAAAAAAATTTAATTTTCGGGGCAAAGGAAAATGCTAAGATGTGCCTGAATAGCTTTGAGGTAGTGAAATATTTTCTAAACATTGCAATTGAGGAAGAAAAAAAATACGGTACGGATTTAGTAACGTATAGACGGCCTCGAAAGAAATCATTTAAGACATCTACAATAGGTGTAGTAGGTCTCCTTCGTCAATGAACGAGCTTCGTGATTGAGATTGTTTGATGTCAACTAATACATGCGTTTTGCTATCTAATGGTGTTGTATTCACACTGTTTACCTTTGTGTGTGCAGGGAAATACCTTGAATGTGAAGGTGAACAAACTGACCTCTACAAAAACTCAACTTCCTTACTCATACTATTCCCTCCCATACTGTTCTCCGGAGCATATAGTAGACAGTGCAGAAAATCTTGGGGAAGTTCTTCGTGGTGATCGCATTGAAAACTCTCCTTACGAGGTAAAGTAGATTTTAAGAGATTACTGTTATGGTTATGTTGTCCTTCGCTTTGGTTATCGAGCAGCTATAATTTTATCTTTTTTTTTTTGTTGCAGTTCAACATGAGAGAACCAAAGATGTGCAGTGTTGTATGTCGTGTAGTTCTTAATGCAAAAACTGCAAAGGAGTTTAAGGAAAAGATAGATGATGAGTATCGGGTGAACATGTGAGTCGTGAATCCTGAATATCATGCATGTGAATCATATGCTCCTATGTGATGTGATGAACAATTGAGTTACGTTCTGATAAATTTTGTCAAACTACAGGATTCTGGATAATCTTCCTCTGGTTGTTCCTATACCACGGCTTGATCGGGAAAATGCCTTAGTGTATCAACATGGATTTCATGTTGGTCTTAGAGGACAATATGCTGGGGTAGCTGTTTGACCAATTATCATTCTTTGCATGATCTTAATTCTTTTGCTGACGTCTTATAGAAGAGTGCTGAATTTCCCTTTTTCCTTTAAACATTTGCAGAACAAGGATGAAAAGCATTTTATCAACAATCACTTAACATTTACAGTCAAGTATCACAAGGATCCAATGACAGAATCTGCCAGGATTGTCGGATTTGAGGTGAAACCATTCAGGTATTATTTGTTATTCTTTTCTATCATAGGCTAATTAGTTTGTACCATCTCTTCTCTCCAATGAGAGTTCATACGCTCATACCTATATGATAGCGGACAATTTTGGTTAATGCAGTGTTAAGCATGAATATGAAGGCGAGTGGACTAACAAGACACGTTTAACGACCTGTGATCCCCATGCGAAGCGAACAGTTAGCAGCTCTGAATCTCCTCAGGAGGTTGAAGATAAAAAGGAAATTATATTCACATATGATGTTGAGTTCCAGGTTGGTGCCCTTGCCATTTCCCAATAAATGACTTCTTTGTTTGCCGTTTTGAGTTGGGTTTCAGATTGGCTTTTGTTTAACCTTGTAGGAGAGTGATGTGAAGTGGGCATCCCGGTGGGACACATATCTTCTGATGGCTGATGATCAAATCCACTGGTTCTCAATTGTTAATTCTTTGATGATTGTTCTTTTCCTTTCCGGCATGGTTGCTATGATAATGTTGCGGACACTTTACCGGGATATCTCCAAATACAACCAACTAGAGACCCAAGAAGAAGCCCAAGAAGAGACAGGATGGAAACTGGTTCATGGGGATGTCTTCAGACCTCCAGTAAACTCAGATCTACTGTGTGTGTATGTTGGGACGGGTGTGCAGTTCTTTGGGATGATTCTCGTCACCATGCTCTTTGCAGTCCTTGGGTTCCTCTCCCCCTCAAACCGAGGTGGGCTGATGACTGCCATGCTCCTCCTCTGGGTCTTTATGGGCCTCTTTGCTGGATACTCTGCAGCCCGTCTATACAAGATGTTTAAGGGAACAGAATGGAAGAAAATCACTCTGAAAACAGCTTTCATGTTTCCTGCAACTCTCTTTGTCATTTTCTTCGTCTTGAATGCTCTTATCTGGGGCGAGAAATCCTCTGGGGCAGTTCCATTTGGAACCATGTTTGCGCTGGTATTCTTATGGTTTGGCATTTCAGTTCCACTTATCTTCGTTGGTGCATATGTGGGTTTTAGGAAGCCGTCGATTGAGGATCCTGTGAAAACCAACAAGATCCCTAGGCAAGTCCCGGAACAGGCATGGTACATGCATCCAGCCTTCTCTATCCTAATTGGAGGCATACTCCCGTTTGGGGCCGTCTTTATCGAGCTCTTCTTCATCCTTACATCGATATGGTTGCATCAGTTTTATTACATATTTGGATTCCTTTTCATCGTCTTCATTATCCTCATCATCACATGTGCCGAGATCACAATTGTTCTGTGCTACTTCCAGTTGTGCAGTGAAGACTACCTTTGGTGGTGGAGGTCGTATTTGACCTCGGGCTCCTCAGCGCTCTACCTTTTCCTCTACGCTGCCTTCTACTTCTTCACTAAGCTTGACATTAAGAAGCCAGTTTCTGGAGCCTTGTATTTCGGGTATATGCTGATTGCTTCTTATTCCTTCTTCGTGCTGACTGGTACAATCGGTTTCTATGCATGCTTCTGGTTTACTAGGCTCATCTATTCGTCAGTGAAGATTGACTGATTCGTAGTCCCAATCTGAAGGAAACGATTCTTTTGTTTTTCCACGATGATGATGTCCTCGTGGAGCGACCAACTGGGTTCGATTTTGAATATCAAAGTCGTAGAAATTCTTGTTCCTAGCCTCTCTATACAGGTCATTTTTTAAGCTGCTCTTTTTGTTTATTTGTTCTTCTACCATCGTCTTCTTTCCGTTCCATACGATAACACTTGAGAAAATCGTAAGCAATCTCCGTGCCGTCGTCGATGGCTCATCGCTGATTGCAGGAATGAAAATGGAATTCCTGTATGTATCATTGCTACTGCTTCTTTTTATTCTGTTTTCTTGTCAAACACCACCTTTGGAAACAATATAGCTTAACATCTCTTCTGTGATTAAAAGTAGAACAAACTGTGAACGCGAAAATCGTTCCGTGGCAAAAGATAAAAGGCGACGCATAACTTTCCAACCATCCGTCAATGGAAAACAATATCATACAATTTTAACATTTCATCAAGTTCCATCCTGGAATTGTGTATATTACATGGTTTATAACAACCTTGGACCAGTCATATAATACATCACAAATTAATCTGCGCCTTCAGCGCTAAAATCGGGCTCCGGAGGCTTTTGTAATTTGACTAATTCTCGAGCACTCTTCAAATTCCTGTTCCGGTGAACACCACGAAGTGCGTTTGCAGCAAACCTAGAAGCTAAAAATGTGGCACCGATACTATACGAACCGCCAGCATTGCTGCGGGCACCTCCCAAGGCTTCTGCTTCTGCTTCCTCTTCCTTACGATGAAGCTCCAAGATTTTCCTCTTGGAATAGCGGCGCCACGCTGCTTGGATAAAGCAAGCAGCCCAGGTCC